AGGGCGCATTTTTGGCGCATGATGTCCTGGTACAAGCGTGTGAGTTGGTTTCTAAAATGTCGCTCGACGTACACGAACTTGGAGTTGACGTAAGTGAATATATCCAAGTTTTCTACCCTTACTTCGGTTTTGCTTTTGAAAGTTCGTCCTTGTTGTGCCTCGATGATGAATAATTTTGGGTGTTCTGTGTGGGTCATCTTATATCCACACAAGGCCGACTCTGTTGTCTTTGCTAATGCAAAAATGGTCTCGCCCAACGTGACCGTGTATACTGTCGGACTATCTTCTTGATTCAGTGGCGGCGTCATCCGGTGAGCTAGTCCTTCGTAGAGGACGTCATACCTGTTGAAATTGCAGAAGTCCGTGGGTACTAATTTCCAATGGGTGAGGCTTCCATCGACGTCGCGACATTTTTCCTCCGTGGCTTTGCAGCGAACACTTGAAGGTAGGATGACTTCGTTGGATGAAAATTTCGGGTGTATATCAGTTGGACACGGGGCAATTGGACACAGTCCAATCACAAGTCGCTGTTCCAAGGGACTCTACAAATGTCTCTAATCACACGGTGCTGTGATTGGCTGTGTCCAAATGCACCGTGTCCAAGTGCACCGCTCCCGAAAATTTCACTGGTAACTCGAAATCCTTGAGAGTGATTGCGATGGTAGCTTGCATTATCACGTTGTCCCAGCTACCGAAGGTCGTACCTTTACAAGTTCCATCATGGCTTATCGATCCCGCGTAGTTGACGTTTCTTGTGGAGGTTCCATTCTGCTTGATGCCATTGAGTAGAATGTTGTTTCCTAAGAGAATGGCTCCGGTCTCGCGCAACTTTTTGCAAGTTTCTCCCGAGGTTTCCTGGATATATTCGTGTTTTCCGTTTGCGACTGCGGAGATGTGAGAATGCATTCCACAATGGTAGATCATGCTGTCGATTTCAATTCTGCACTGAATAGCCTTGATGTACTCGAATTTGTTGAGTTGTAGCAGTTGGATGTGGGTTTCTTCTGTCCTGGGTTCCAAATTTTCCACATGGCAATTTTCCGTGACTATCCTTAGCGGAATCACGGACGGGGGCATCAAAACGATCGGATCTAGCACAATAAAATACATGGGTTACGATATCCCTGTACATATCGTGAACAACGACTTCCCTATTCCTCAAGACGGTATCCTAGGATATGACGTCTTAAGAAACGTTACGAATTTAGTCCTTGTCAATAACGAGTGTATATCAGTTGGACCCGGGGAAATTGGACACAGTCCAATCACAAGTCGCTGTTCCAAGGGACCCTACAAATGTCTCTAATCACACGGTGCTGTGATTGGCTGTGTCCAAATGCAACGTGTCCAAGTGCACCGCTCCCGTCGGAGGCGACGCGTAGCGACCTCGATTTTCGGAGTTATCGTCTCTCCACGAGTTTTGAGTCGGTCGTACGCTTTGTTGGAAGGAGTTTGAACGAGACACGTAGGGCGATCCTGGAGATCGATCCGGCGCTCTGTCCGTCTGCCGGTTGGGATCTGCTCGCCTATTGTTCTCAGGCCGCACGGGCGTAGAATGCGCTATGGGTCGGTTTATGAGACGCAATTCCGCTTTATTTAGGAATCGGTCCGGTCGGCGCGGTGCCTCAAAGCATTCCTTATCTAGCTCTCGCTAAAGTCTTCACGTGAGCAAATGCCTCGGCTGGCCTCGTGTAATGCTCAGGTCTCAATTGTAGTTTGTATTCTAAAGATAGTTCCTTGCAAAATGAGGAGCGGTGCACTTGGGCACGGTGCATTTGGACACAGCCAATCACAGCACCGTGTGATTAGAGACATTTGTAGGGTCCCTTGGAACAGCGACTTGTGATTGGACTGTGTCCAACTGATATATACCCGGTGATGAGTCCGTTAGCGCGGCGTTCTGTGTTTAAAATTGACGATCGCAGTTCTTTTACCCGCATTATATAATCGAGAATATGCTCCCCGGGGAGTAAATAGATGGTGCTGAGCTCTCCGCGGATTTGGTCAATAGCCTTTGGTGATCCGAATACACCCGTTAATAGATCAATTAGTTGTATGACTGTGTCGCATGGTTCGCCCTCGACGGCGTAATATGCGCGTCCACGGAGTTTATTTGTTAGTAGCGGTGTAAGATTCCTTTCGGACGAAGGAGGTACCGTTTCTTTGGCTCTACGGCATGTTTGAGCGGACCTCGCGAGGGGTAAATTATGCCCATCAAAGGATGGGACTGGCTCTAAGGCCTCACGAAAAGAGGCACGTGGCGGTGCGTCGTAATTATAATCAACCACGTGGGGTGGAAGGGTATTCGTCTCGGCATTTCGTGCAGTAGCGTCATGCAAGAACAGTGACGGGCTCACTTTCATATTGCGCACTTCTTGCTTTAGCTCGGCGATTTCCCGAGCAACGTCGAAAGCTGAGGTTTGATCGAAATCGTTGTCGTGCGCTGTGTCGGTGCGTTTGCTCAATTCGAGCTCTTTACTCGAGATTTCATTACGGTCCTTCTCGATTTCGCGACGCGCCAATTCTTGCTCCACTCTAAACTCGTCGCGGGCGCGTTGAAATTCCTCGCGATCACGTTGCATAGCATCGGCTTGCTCTCTTATACGCGATTCCCGTTCGTTAAGCCTTTGTCGGATCTGTTCGAGCTCTGCTTCTGAATAATCAGATTTAGCGCTCTTTTTGCTCCGGGTATCCATGGCGGATCCTAGCGGATCCCACCGCTGTCACCAAAATTGTTGTTACTTTCCAGCCGACCGCGGCTGCGCGGGTATGATGCAATGCTTGGGCCGTGCTGCCGGAACCGGATCGCTTTTCTTTTAGGGTCATTCGAATCTGTGCGATTCTCCCCAGGGATCCACGCGATCCTAGATTCGCCGAACTGTCCGCGGAGCAAATTTAGAGCGGGTACATGCACGCTATTACGAGCAAGTAAGAAGATAGCGCCGTTGGCGCCAAGTACGGATTCTGACTTACCGGCTTCCGCGCCTAAGGGCTATCGCACACAAATTGACATAACTGCATATGCATAGCATAAGACCGTATGTACCAATGAGCATCGAGTATTAAGTCACCATATTGGTGTTCGATGCTTAATATTCGATGCTCATTGGTCCATACGATCTTATGCTATGCATATGCAGTTATGTCAATTTGTGTGCGATAGCCCTAAGTCTCGAAGGTGTCGCTCTTATGGTCTGCATGCGGTCCTATACTGCTGTAACGTCCGGATCTATTTTAGAACATTAATAATATATTATTATAGACCGGGAGGCCGACTTGTCTGATTTCAGACATCACTAGACATTTTATCCCTATGTTACTAGATGTAAGTACGTGCGCATATGTATATTCGCGAGCGTTAAAACATTATAATTAAAATGCCGAATGCTGTGTGCTGCTGGAGAGTCTTGAAATCGACGGATCGACCTAAAGAAACCGTTATCGCTCAGTGCGATAAGCTAACATAAACAGGAGCATGAAAGCCGAATCCCAAACACCACTCAGGACACCGACGCGGTGACATCATGCAAAGGAATGAATCTCTTCCCTCGCCATAACTCCATGGACCAATCGGAGAACGACTCTCAGCGACAAAGCGACATATAAAAACGCGCGCATTTGTAGAGAAGGCAATTATTTTCTTCTCATAATTAGTCTCTGGTAGCTTTCGTGTACTTATTTAGAATATTATACATAGTCGTAAAATCCGACTGTGTTGCAATTACTTTTGCCTACCCTTCATATTTCAAACGTTGCGAAATCAAAATTCTGAATCGCGGGCCGCATCAACCCGCGTAGTATCGGAACATCCGAGGCCGAGCCAGGAGAACAAGCACCGCTGATTTTTCGCCAGATTCATCAATCGTTTCGCCAGGCTCCGGAGACCCAGGGTAAACTCGGTGAAAAGCAGAGTGACCCAAAAGCGGAGTCATCACTCTGTTGACCGTCCACGTAAGTCACTGATTTCACTACTTTCAAATTTCCCTATATAGTTATCTATCGTGGACGTAACACTATAGCTCCCGTAGTGGTGTAGTCAGGAACTTCTCCGGCACAATGTCGAAGGCGGCAATTCCCGATGGTGATTTTTACTTGAGGGTCACTTACCGCACTCCCGGCATAAATCGCGCGTTTAAGATTAGGATGTTGAGTTACGGCCCGGAGTTAGGAACGTAGAGTTTCACTTGGATTCTCAAGGTGGTGGTTCTGACGCAATTAGGAAAGGAGGGACCTTTCTCGGGAATTATGAAATCAAGAGTTGATTTTATATAATAACTATATATTTTAATAGTAGGGATATACAAAGTCCTAATTCTAGAAGAAATATTCTATAATAATCTAGGATGAGAGTTTATAATGATTAGGATAAGATTATGCAGTCTAGTTAGTAGATCTTACGAAGTTCTTAAGAATTGAATTAGAATTAGATTTAGGATTATGATTGGAGTTCTCCAGCCAATGCTGGAGACTTGAGGGATAGAGAGGTGTTCCGACGCCTCCGCGACTCACCTCTACTACTGACTGCCTCACGACTCTCTACTCTCCTACCTTTCCTACCGGATTTCCTCTAGTGGGGTGGGGATTCTAACTTGGCGAAAGCGCCATCTACTTACACCCCTCGAGAGGAGACGGTTTAGGTTCTACCTGATGGCTCTTCTGCCTAGGGCGTACTCGGTAGGAAAAAAGAAATGTGCACCGGTATTGTCGGACATAACACTAGGAAACTTTCTCTCTAGACAATTTACATCACTGCGATTAATCTGATTGAAAATTCGATTGCTACACGTAACACCTAATGTATACTATGTCCATGGTACTCAGGAGTGTCAGATGCTTTCAATTTCAATTCGCCAATTTCTTACTCCCAAGATAGTCCAAAAGTCCCTAGTACTGTTCCCTAGTGGAAAAAGCAGGAAATAGGAGTTACCATTGCCGACTGTTTTGTTCCATCTAGACCCTGACCAATGACTAAATAAATATTACTCAGTTTTTGGAATTGTATCTGGCTGGTATTACATGCGTCGTGCAACGAGCATTGTCGGAAGTGTCAGTTGGTTATTGTACAAAATGTAAATAGGGGGCCATAACACTTTCTCCTCTAATATCTTTCAAATAATATTTCAAAATATTAAGAAAAGACTAATATTTGTTATGTCTTATATTTTTTGTACAACAAATGTATTAATAAGTCTGATTAGATTTCAATTTAAACCAAATTAGTCTGGTTTATGTTTATACTGGAGTACATTTATATAATCTTTAAGGTAGTACTAGCGCGACAGTCTCATTAAAAATTATTATTATTAAAAAGAAAGTTACAATAGTCTTATTATTGAAAAGAAAGTTACAATATGTGGTTATAATATATTAAATACACATTAAAGTTCAATATATTAACATCTTATAGATAAAATATATCAACACAATGTTCAATAATAATTAAAAAATAAAGAATTCATTATTTATTTTGATTTGCTGGAATAAACTTTTGGTTGCGAGTGTAATCCACACTCTTTAAGACTTTTGTATATGATACACATTAGAGATGCCCGATTCTTAATCGATTCGATTCTTTCCCTAACAAATTTAGAAAAAAAGTGTTGTTCGTGCTGCATGCATGTTTCATACTTTTCGCTTTTAAAAAAAGATAGACGCTTAATCAGACGCTTGGAAGAAACGCTTGGAAATCGAGTTGGTTGTTTCGTTTTTGCTTCTTCGAAACATTCCAATATACTTCTGTCTAGTTTTAAATACGAAAAGTGCGAAGAGTGCAAACAACATGAATAAGCCTATTTTTGGGGAAAGAATCGAATCGATTCAGAATCGGGCATCTCTAATACACATATACTAAGGTGATAAAGATGTGGCAACGTTGCGTTAACCTAAAACTTTGACGTTGTGTATTTGAACGGTGTATTGAACATTGAAAATGACTTCTCAAACAAGATATAAAGGAAAATTTATGAAAAATAAAACTCTTCAGAAACGTTTGAGAGCAATTTCGGAAATGTCTCGTGCCAAAAAAGAGAAAAAACTAAGGAAATGCAAAGTGAAGCGATTCGTGTCGTATCTAACCTATGCGAGGGAAGACGTGTAGTCGAATTGAAAGAATTGGGAAAGAATTTAAAATGCTGCCAATGTAAAGAAGTACTTTGTTTAGAGAGAATCACAAATAAAAGGCGATTTGATCTTCACTCCAGTTTATCAATACTTTGTGACAAATGTGATGTACTGACACTTGTGGCTGCAGAAAAAATGCATTCTGCAGTCGATAATAAAACATTCAAAAATCATGCAGATGTCAACATAAAAGCTGTACTTGGTAAGATTGTTATTTTATGTTTATTCTGTAGATAATACTTTAAATTTTGTATTTTGACACTAACATTTTTGTAAGGTGTAAAAAAGTGTAACAGTTCAACTTTGTTATTGTAGGTGCTGTGCATACTGGCATCGGAAGCTTTGAATAAGATTTTAGCATGTTTGAATATTCCAACTATTAGTGATTCCCTATTTAAAAGATATGAACGAGAAGTTGGGCCAGCTATAGAAAAAAATGCTAAAGAAAGCTGTCAACTCACTGAACAGGAGGAGCGACAATTAGTTATTGAAAACCTTGATAAATTGTGTCAAAATTTGTAAGACATTTTTTTCTCATATATTCACTAAATCACGCATATTTAAAATTTGTTTGATAGCATCACGCATATTTAAAATATGATAAGAATCATTGTTGAAATTTTTATGATTTTTACTAATTTCTACATATTGATATAGATTTTGTAATGATTTTTAAATAATTTTAAATTGAATACGTATAAATGTGTTAATAATAAATAATATTTACAATTACTCTCATACTATAGTAATATAAATGTTGTATATGCATACAAATTTAAACATTTACAATGTTTTTTATATATTCTATGTAAATGTATTTCTTTGAATAATGTATATTTGTTATAAGTACATTGATGAACATATTAATTAAATGAATGAAAATATGAAAAATGAGTTTGTAATGAATGTTTCCCTTTACTATCTTTTACAGACCTTCTGAAATTATAAATGAGATCTATCCTTATTATAAGAATTGTTGCTCCGATATTAATGCAAATCCTTTCCAACTTTCTCCACATGATATCTTGATAAATTCAAGAAGTTCTGTAAATTTTGACAATAATTTGAGTAATATTGAACATTATTGTCTCCTATGACATGGGATGGAGTAAACGAGGAAATGGAAGGAGTTATGACAGCCTCAATGGTTACGGCGCTGTCATTGGTTACTTTAGTGGAAAGATTTTGGATTTCTCCACTCGTAATCGCAAATGTAAAAAGTGCGACATAGGTCAGTCGAGCACTGAGTATGATTGTAGAAAAAATTTCAAAGGAAGTAATGGAGGCAGATGTAAGTACTGAATTAATAAACCGTAGCAATATTCTCAAAGAAGCAGGACTTAATATCCGTGTCAATTGGTGATGAAGATAGTAGCACTATCGCATCAGTGCGTAGAGAAAATTCAAACCGTATATTTAAATAAGCTGATTCGAGCCAAATTAAACAGCACTTTGGAAATGATTTGTATGAATTAAAAAAAAGTTTTAAAGAGCTAAGCAAAAAAGGCACAATTTTCCACATAATTAAATGTTTTAAATTTGCGGTTGCCCAAAATAAAGGGAAAAGTATTGAATTAGAGTCTACAATGCGTAATATTCCAGATCATTTGTTTGGTCATCATGAAAATTGTAGGAAGTGGTATACACGTGCATCTGAAAATGGTAACGAATCACAAACAATTTTTCTAAAAGATCCTAATCTTTATATTAAATTGCGTGAACTGTTTTCAAAATATGCAAACAATGCAGCGAAATTTTCTGTTGCCGCTTCAAGCCAAGTAAATGAAAGTGTTAATAATATCATGTGTCACAAAGCTCCCAAGAATCATTGCTATTGTCTTAGCGAATCTAGCGATTATTGCTACTCAAGTACCGTTTGTACAATGAATGATGGTGAGAATTATTTGTTAAATGTAGAAAAAGAGTTGTGCGTTTCACCTGGTAAGCATACCAAAAAATTTGCAAGCAGACAAGATAAAACTAGACGTGAAAGAGCAAGGAAAGCAAAATTGCCTTCTACAAAATATCGTAGAAACATGTTGCTTCAAAAAAGAATATTGTTACGAGAACAAAAAGAAAAGGCAAAGGGAATTCAATATCAATCTAATTGTGGGCTTGAATTAGACGCAGAAAATTCCTCTATTGATATTGATGTCTCACTTGTCGAAAGTACATTAGAAGATCTTGAAAAATCTCCCACTGACTACAAAATCGTCTATTTCGATTTGGAAACATCAGGTTTCAGTAAAACTACTGACATTCTGCAGAGGGTCGATCATGAATCTTTTCACGTGAATTTGATTTTACCTATCGATCATGTAATTTTTTCTCTAGGATAAAATGGAAAAAGAAAAATTTTGCGATTTTTGTAATAATCATAATAAAATTACTTTATTTATTACATATTTTATAAAACGTTTATAATGCATAATACAATTACTGTTTATTTTTCTAAAAAATTGTTTGTATTAATATAATTTTAGCAATCATGTAACCTTATAAGGCTAAATTTACTAAATCAATCTATTAAACATACTGATTTTAAATACGAAAAAACTGCGTATAGTGAATATATTTTTCACAGTTTAGCTATCAAACGACTTGGCTAAAACATGAAAAGCAATGCATACGTATATCGCATTTATATTTAAAATATCTAGTGATATTTTGTTACCTTCATTAATATATGTCAAATGATGTACTTTCCCTGTTAAAAGATAGTTCATGGTTAATTCATGCAACGTATATTTCTCTGCGTGTTAATCTTGTGCACATATTTTCTAATAATTTATTTAATTATTTATTTAAAGTGTTTTGGAAAGCTCTCGATGTATGCCAGGTCTTAAAGGATAGCAACTTTTGACTTTGAGAGACTGACAGCTGTACCATTTGGTACAGTAACATTGTTTCTCTCTGTAGTCGCCGTGCGCTCGGGATCGCGCCAGAGATGTCGCTTCCGAACGGCATCTCTGAGCGTTATCTAGGAAGAGGAGAGTGTCGTGAGCGTGGAGCGTCAGGTAGTTCAGTGGTTTAGAGCAGTCGCCCGGCAAGCGAAAGACCCGGGTTCGAGTCCCGGCCTAGCAGGACCGCGCTCTCGATATTTTTCTCTTTCTGGAACGAAAAAGATACGCAGATCTCGAACGCACGCCTAGTATGTTCTCCTCCTTCTATGGTACATATGAATATGTAATGCAAAATGGGAGGTTCTATTTAAAAAACTCAAAGTGACCTTGTCTTGACCTTGACGACGCCACACGAGGTCAAACCAATGATATCATCTTATGTCCCCCTCGAAATCCCAAAACATTTATCTGAAACATTTTTCCCTAAAATACACTGTTCAAAAGATATTTGAAGTGATCGATTAAAATGGGACACCCTGTATAAAACTATATAATTAATTCCACTAAATATAAATAACTGTGAATAATAATAAACTAAACAAATTATATGTAAATATGTAAATCAATTATTATACATTCACTAGCATGTACTGAATATAGGGGCAAAAAGTAGTTACTACAAACAAAACATTTGTAATTCCTCACGAATTTTCAAAGTGTTCTAGGAACTAAGTTGCAAAGTATTCACTATAATGAACTTCTACGAAATACTTCAAGACGAATTTATTGTGATTAATTCTTCAAGAATTCTTCAAGTATTCATTTTTCTAATTCGATATATATTCTTTAAAATAAAATCTCTAGGTTCATCAGTTCATCTCGGTGCTATCTGGGATAAACCTAACCTACTGTGATTGGATATTGGATTTACTGAAACATAGCGGACCAATCAAAAGTTATTCCCTTATGACCAAACAATATGATTCCCTCATGACTTATAAGGGAAGTTGCGGAACTGTCCCCCTCCCCCCGATTTTGATGCGCTTTGAATATGTTGTAGAACATCAAAAAGTAGTCGACACGTATTTTTTTTATCGGTCATATTATGAGTTTAGGGGTTGAAACGGCCCCTTGAAAAAAAATAACTTTTCCATTTTTATTGAATATTTCCTAAAATATAAGGTATATGAAAAAATGTTTCCTACAAAAGTTGTACAGTATTTAACGCTCTTTGAAACAATATATTAAATTTTTTCAAAAACATCAAATTTTTGAACCCCCCCTCCCTACTCATTATCTTTCAAAATTTGTAAGTTTTTGTAAGGACAAAAATTGTACAGCATTTTATACCAAATCGATCCATATATAATATTATAAGGTGGTTTCGATTAAATAGTTGGAAAACGTCGTAATAATCGTGCTATACGCATCATGCCGTTCAAGTAGATGGATACTGTAGCTAGATATGTTACTGTAAATAGGGGAATATAATTAATTGTAGAAAAATAATACATAGACAATTACATATATTTAATGTATAATGTTTACAATTTATAATGTTATTATAATATTTTAAAATCATATAATTAATATAATATTAAGAAAAATCGATAGAAGATTTGCATACACAGAAAATAAATGTGTTTTACTTATGGCACATATTCGTAACAAAGGTGGTGCTCATGGAAGAAATGTGTGATGCAAAGTGATCGTTTGCACCAAGAACAAGTAATTATAGCAGTTTCGCCACAAATATCGTATTGTACTTTAGGATCCTTTTTGAAACAAAAATCAACCGGTGTCTCGAACTCTGGCGGTCTAGTCTGTAAATATCCACTTTTAAACCATGCAAATTTAAATAAATTTTGATACCTAGGTGACGAGAATTGATGGTGTGTTAATAACTGCAATTTCAAGATATTGTTCTTATTATGAAGATCAATTGCAAGATCGAGTAACATAACATTATCAGAGAAATATTTGATAAAATTTTTCCACAAACGGAAGCCATATACATCTAGGTGGTTGTATTTTTCCCGTTGTACCAGCCGGAATTGTTAGAAAATATATATCTGTTGCAGAATCTGGTCTACTTTCGGCAATTATGTTGGGACAATGTCCACTCCAAGAATCTAATAGTAATACAGATTGTGGCCTGACGTTCGGAAAGAAAACTTCTCTCAACCAGGTTTTTACATGATTTGATGTTAATTTATCTGACTTTGAAGCCATTACGTAAATGTTAGGAGCGTTAAATAACGATTGCTGCACTCATGGACCAAACGTTCCTGTGGATTCTTTTAATACGATGAAAAGAGGCGACAATAATCTATCATCAGCAGAAATAGTTGGCTGTATTGTGTAACTATACGTGGTTGCGGATACAGACTGTACTACAGATTCTATTGTTTTTGCACCTTTATTTGCTAAAGTACGACCGGCGTGAAGTTCTAACTGGAATCCACTCTAATCCGAATTATAAATATTTTTTACTCCATATTGATTAATAAAATATTTAACATTTGTTGTAAATGTTTTGCACTTATTTTCTTTCTGATTTTAAATCTGATTTTGATAACAAAGATTTTTTCGTGACAAATTTCGTTATTTTACGAGATACTATATTATGTTGTTTTTTGAATCTGTGTATCCACGTATGTGACGCTATGAATCCTGGCACACTTACCTCTTGTTGTGCTCGAGAAGGCCATCGACCGATGTCAATATCATGAATTATCATTCCTCTTTGGAGCGTTTTATTGAAAGTGTTTAATGTATATTCAGCAATTCTTTGCAATTTTTCTCTTCTTGTACCACCTGCATGGATATACTTCTCCCATTGTCGTAATTGTCGTAGCGATGTTACTTGTTTATAATTGTGTTTTACCGACTCCAATGATTTTGGTCTTGTTTTACCGCTTCTCCAGTATTCCACAGCTTGCTTTTGTAGTACACTTGCTTTTTGTAGTCGTTTGATATTGCTGCTTCAACAGAAGTATAAATAACTTCTTCTGGAAGATAATTCTCATCTTCAACATGATGAAACAAATCAACTGTTTCTACATGTGGAATCTCATTTGGATCATAAAAATGTAGTGCTTGCTCCTCTTCTATTTCAAATTCGTTATCATTTCCAATTTCTTTCAGCATGTATTCAACCTTCTCCTTTATTTCTATTTCCTCCAAAGTTATCGGACTTTGTGGAAGGTCTAATGCAGAGAATGTTGCGTACAGTAACAGTATGACATTCCATGCATTAAATGACATCATTCTGGAACAGATTAAAAATAAATGTTTGTCTCCACCTGTGATTATATAAAACTGTGATTATATAAAAAATAAAACATACTTTATAATTAATGTTATGTCTTCTTATTTTGGACGTTGTTTTCTTCTCTTCTGTCTCTTGATATCAGATATACAGTGCATCTAAAAGAAATTAATAAATCAAAACGCAATTATAAACGCATTATTTACGTTATATTTGTTGAGATAATAGGGAGACGAATGTATAAAATGTTCACATAAATATGTAAACATGTAAAACAAACAAAAAATTATCTTATCAATTGATAATAATTATAGTAGGACCTCACAAGTATGTCCGTCGGACCATCAATATCGTTTATCACAATTACAAGTAAAGTTACAATAGTCTTCTCCTACATTTTTATAATATAAATAACCGTTTCAAGTTTATAGAAGTATTTTTTTTTAGAAGTACCAACATATAAACGTATAACAGAAATGTTGTTAATACGCTTAGTTAATACGCAAGTTGGCATGATGTGACCGTTCTTTACTAATTGTTTTATCGTTTAAATATATTTGATTAAGGATGTTTGTATTGTCCGTACCAGATTAATAATGAAAAAATTTTCCAAAAATTGGTGCTAATCTATATTGTATATGAAAATGACACTCAAAGTTTTAGAATAATTAAGAATCTAGATTAAATATTGTTTCATTTATTTTAATAATAAAAAAGTAAATTATAAAAATTAAACGTTAAAGCCAAGAAATGTTGCTATTTAACTATATCGTACACATATATCATACATTTTTATACAGAAAATAGAATATTAATCTATTTCTAACTTCTTGTTGGGACTATACGGATGAAGCATCCTTCATAAACACGTTACATAGTTACTGTTTCGCTAACAAAAAAAAAAAAAGAAACAGTGTACACATCTTCGATTGACATAACTGTATTTCTTTTTTGTCTAAAGTAGCACAAGAATTATTTTTTACGTTTCAATATTGATCCATTAATAAATATATTCTACAATTTAACTATTACTCTATTTTATCTCCTTTTCCGTACAATACTAACTGAATAAACTATTATTATTTCAATAATATAAAAGTGAAGAGTGGTAAGCGTAAAATAATAATGTGGTGGATCGATATAGATCCACACAAGCACGACCGCCGCAACCGCCACATAGGCAGCGCGGCGCCGTTAGCCGAGCCGCCGCCGCTCGCCGAGCCGTCACCGCAACCGCGAGAGCCTCCACGCGGCGCCGTTCGGCGGCGCACTCGCGGGGGGGTTTTCTCGCGAGAAAATTATCATTAACAGACAGTAAAAGCCAGACTCCGCGGGAGGTCGACACACTCCGCCACACTGGCTTCTCCAAGCGACTTTTGCCACAGCTAGAGAGCCTTTGGCTTCACCTACAAACGGCACCTCTCGGCGCCCCGGCATCCGCTGCAGAAGCGGTATCACCTCTCGGCGCCCCGGCATCCGCTGCAGAAGCGGCAATACCTCACAGCGCTGAAGAAGCGCACCGGCATCCGCTGCAGAATCGGCTACGAGTCGACAGGCGCCGAAGCGGCGTCCCCGCGAGTAGCCACGCCGAAGACGTCACAACCGGCCGGATCCTCGGCACGGGCACCTGTCCATGCACCGAGAAGGAGCAGGGGCCTAAAACGGCGGCTCCAACAACTCTTTGGGGGAAACTCCTCTGAAGCCAGAACCGTCGGGCCGTTCACCCCGGCCGCGAACGCCGTCGCCTACGCGGGTCGGGACTCCGTCCCCTCTCAATTGGGGACCACCACAGTCACCCGTACCAGCCACCTCCGGAGCGGAAACCTTCTCTACGTGGAGGCTCCTACGAATCTGGCTCTCTCGGCGGCCTCTGACTAGGGAGCGGTGCACTTGGACACGGTGCATTTGGACACAGCTAATCACAGCACCGTGTGATTAGAGACATTTGTAGGGTCCCTTGGAACAGCGACTTGTGATTGGACTGTGTCCAATTGCCCCGTATCCAACTGATATACACCCCTCTGACTCGTCCCCCGGTGGCCACGCTGTCCCACGGCGACTCCCGGGTCGGACGACCATTATCTCCGCGTTTCGCTCGGATAAACGAGCGCCAAGAAAATAAGGAGAACCAAGCTATAGCTCCGAGACATCCCAAGCAGGAGAGGATCTGGGGGAAGGAGCACAACATCCCTAAGACGAGGCTCAATGCGGCGGTGCGTCGTACTCTGCGGAGACTGGCGCATACACACTCACACACCCATACACACGAACACACATGTACACCTGTATATAGCCCTACATCAAAATAAAAATGTTTATATAAAAAGAACATAAAGAGTCAGATTAATATTGAACCCTCCCCGCGAGCGGAAAGATCACATAGAGATAAGAACGAATTCTCTAAAAATAATACAAGTTAATAAATACTTACATAATTTCAGTACATTATGATATATAACATACTGTATAACGGTTACTGTACAACGCACAGTTCGTATATAACACACAATTCTTCACAGTACCAACTCACGAAACGAAATACACGTTTTGAAATGTTGCGGACATTTATATAGAGTCTAAATTGTACGCTGAAATGACTAAATTAAACTTCGCATGATGATCACATGATTGTGTTGCGCGAAGCGAATAAAACCTATTTTTAGTACTAAACAGTAGTTGTTGATGTAATTCGATCTTTCTCTTTGGGCACGGGACTGTAGATAGTGTATGACTCATACACATGATATATGATTATATCATGATTATATTATATGATTTTAAAATATTATAATAACATTATAAATTGTAAACATTATACATTAAATATATGTAATTGCCTATGTATTATTTTTCTACAATTAATTACATTCCCCTATTTACAGTAACGTATCTAGCTACAGTATCCATCTACTTGAACGGCATGACGCGTATAGCACGATATTATCACGACGTTTTCCAACTATTTAATCGAGACCACCTTATAATATTATATATGGATCGATTTGGTATGAAATGCTGTACAATTTTTGTCCTTACAAAAACTTACAAATTTTACAAAGGTAATGAATAGGGAGGGGGGGTTCAAAAATTTGATGTTTTTGAAAAAAATTAATATATTGTTTCAAAGAGCGTTAAATACTGTACAACTTTTGTAGGAAACATTTTTTCATATACCTTATATTTTAGGAAATATTCAATAAAAATGGAAAAGTCATTTTTTTTCAAGGGGCTGTTTCAATCCCTAAACTCAATATATGGCCGATAAAAAAAATACGTGTCGACTACTTTTTGATGCTCTACAACATATCCAAAACGCATCAAAATCGGGGGGGGGGGCAGTTCCGCAACTTCCCTTGTTAGAGTGACTTTACACTATTCTACACCGAAAAAGGACTCAATTAACGCCCACCAGTGTACGAGTCAGACTTCTATAGTTGTTTCATTTTGAAAATTTCAATTACTCAGGAAACAATATGGTTCGATCCTTTTGGAAAAAAATATCATACATGCACCACCACACTATCTATCATTGGTAAAATTTTAAAAAATTCGTTTACTACAGCTAAAGAAATTAATTTTAACTTATATGCCATAAAAAATGGCTTAATATCTTTATTTACGGAAGGGGCAACAAAAACTTTAATGAAATTTTTTTTTCTTAATAGGGGGACCATTTTGGCATAGAAAAATTTTGGCGTGAGAAAAATGTTGTCTAAAATTGATTGCACCGTCTTATTCGAGCTTTTATGCTTGTCAAAGACTAGATAATCAATAATTGATATTCAAGAGAGATAAGAAATTAAATGAACGACAAAATTATTAAATCCGTTATTGTGAAATAATAACTGGAACATCAAGATCACTAGATATTATTTTATTTTATATTTATTTATGAAGTCATAGTAAAGGAATATAAGTTATAATAATTAAAACCTAAATTGTCTTCTATAAATAAAAAAGACGTAATATTAAACAAATTTATAATAATTTATTTAAACAAAATATTTTTACTATGTACTTACTATGAATACCTCGTATATTAATGTCTCAGAACTATCGATTCAGCATGCAACATTTATTAAAACGAGATAATAGACAAACATATTTTAATGGATTATTACATATGTATATTTTAGAAAATAATTTATTACTGAAGATTACAAATTTAAGATTGCTATGCAATATCATTGCAATCATTACTGTTTGTTGCCTCCATAATAGCTTGGTAGAGCAAAGGTCGTAATTCTTCCCTTACCACCGTATGCTTATCACCATGCGTTATCATTAACACCGCACTGGCTTTCTTCAATACTTCAAGCGCCTGCTTCAATTTTCTCAAATGCAATTTTATCTTTCCCATTATAAGGTATAGTAATCCAGTTAAAGGATGCATCTCTCCGTAGTACAATCTGATAAAAAAAGAACAACAAAATATCTTAAAGCAAATATTAATCCTCTTTTTGTTATAGTTATTATAAAAAATTATATTTAGCTAATTACACGACATCTAATGTCTAAGTTCGACAAATAATGCACTCTCCGACCGATTTTCGGGAGGTTTCACCTCCCGAATTTTTTTCCTTCTCTTGTCGCCCTCTTGTCGACACATTCTACAAGTTGCACGAACTTCAAGAATGGGATCCGAAGAAGGCAGAAAAATAAAGACTTGAATCTTTTTTTAAAAATGCAGATATCTTGTTAAATTTTTATTTTAATTGCGAATTTGTTTTTAATAGTTTTCCATGTCAACCATGAAGTATTATTTCTGTTAAGCTTACTGGGAACATTAAAAAAAAATACGTCAGCAATAGTATCTCATAACATGAAAAACGTGAAAAACTATTAAAAACAAATATATATATTTACAATTATAATAAAAATTTGATAAAATATATTGCCTGTTTAAAAAAAATCCACAAGTCTTCTTATTACGGGATTTTTTAACACGATATCCGTAGACTATATTCCTGATTCGACTTGAACGATTTGTAGGCTATGCACGGAGTGACAAGACAAGGAAAATAATATGTGGTGGAACTTCTCGAAAATCGGGAGCATAAATTTTTCTTTTTAATCAATTTACGTGAAATTCGGTAATTGGGGATTTTTAGAGTCGCTGATTACGAATCTGAACTTAAAATTTCAAAATTCAAAATGGCGGATTTAATATAGCGGATAGAAATGCGAAAAACGGCGTGATTCGGATTTTATATATTTATTTATTTTATATATTTCATGTTTCTTTATATATTTTTTGCTTTTTTTATATCTTATTTTTTTATATCTTATTTATATTATACTTATATTATATTTACATTATATTTATATTATATTTATATTATATATTTATATTTATTTATATATTTATATATTTATTTATTTATTATATATTTGTAATTATTATATTTTTATATTTATATTATATTTATATTTATTATATCTTATTTATATTTATATTTATATTTTTTTGTTTTTTTCTAAAATTTGTTTATTATGTAATATTTTTTGTTTATATTATTTTATATTTTTTACTTTTATTTTCTTCCTTTTTGGAATATTTTTTTAACTGTTGTATTTTGTAGGTAAAATATATTAGTAATTTTCTTACATAAATTAGGAATAATAAGGCAAAAAGCAATTTCTCTTAGTTGTCAAGCATAGAGGCACTTGATATTCAAAACACATCCAAGAAATTTTCATATCTTTTCTTTTAATACTGTAAAATTATGTAAAATATAAGAAAATATATATATGTAAAATAAATAAATATTGTGACGTGGCGGCCCCGAAAGGTGCCCGTCACAAGGAGCGCAACGCTGCCCGTCTAACTTTGCGCGCGCTCAGCGTTTCGTATCACGGATACCGTTTGGCAAACGTAAGGTCGGCATTCGTTCGCATAAAATTAGAAGAATTTAGGAAAACTAAGCCTCGGAACAGTGGTCTGGTCCTCGCGTCCCTAAAGAGTGTGTTCCCAAGCTCACCTCGCTGATGCGGAGGAGAAGGAGCCAGAAGGACAACGCGAGACCATAGGAGATAAGCCTGCGTCACAGCCCTCGCCGAAAGACATAATTAAATAACACTCGGGTAAGGAGCTTTAACTCTCGATCTTTCTAAAACAGATTGTCGTTCCGATTTCGGTTGCCGCTCGCAGTATTCATCTTTTCAGCTCCGCTGCGAGACATGTCGAGGAGAGACGTAAGAGGAAGATCTCGAGAAACACCGGCCGAGCCAGGCGCAAAGGATAACAGCTGACGAGCGTCAATAAAACACCAAAGGCAGCCAGAAGAAAGAGCTTCTCGGCTACAAATGATGATACCGCGGCGATTGGCTGAGAGAGAGAGAGAGAGAGAGAGAGAGAGGGAGGGAGAGAGGGAGAGAGAGGGAGAGGGAGGGAGGGA